AACCTACCAGATTCAGAGTTCAAAACATTGATTTAAGGATGCTCAATGAAATTAGGGGAAGAGTAGATGAACTTAGTAAAAATTTCAACAAAGAGATAAAAAACATAAAAATGAAGATAAAAAAAAAAAAGGATAAAAAAGAACCAGTCAGAAATGAAGAATAAAATAACTTGAAATGAATACTTTACTGGGAATCAACAGTAGAGTAGAGGAAGCAGATGATCAAATCAGTGAAATGAAAAGACACAGAAACAAAAAACACCCAATCAGAACTAGAAAAAGGATACAAAAAAATGAGGGTAGTTTAAGGAGCCTCTGGATCAACTTCAAGTGTACCAATATTCGGATCATAGGGGTGCCAGAAGGAGAAGAGGGAGAGCAAGGAATTGAAAACCTATTTGAAAAAATGACATAAAAACTCCCCTAACCTGGTGAAGGAAACAGACATATAAGTTCAGGAAGGGCAGTGAGCTTCAAACAAGATAAACCCAAAGAGGCCCACACGACGACACATCATAATTAAAGTGCCAAGAGTTAAAGATAAAGAATTGTAAAAGCAGCAAGAGAAAAGCAGTTAGTTACCTACAAAGGCCCTCCCATAAGAATCTCAGGTGATTTTTCAACAGAAACTTCAGAAGGAAATATCAAGAAATTTCAAAGTGAAAAAGGAAAAGAAAAAAAAATTCAAAGTGATGAAAAGCAAGGACCTACAACCAAGAATGCTCTAACTAGGAAAGCTATCATTTAGAATTGAATGACAGATAAAGAGTTTCTCTGACAAGAAAAAGCTAAAGGAGTTCATTACTACCAAATCAGTATGATAAAAAAAAAAAAAAAAAATGTTAGAGGGTCTTCTTTAAGAAGAAAAATAAAAGGCGAAAATAAATAATAAAATGGAAACAAATGTATTTTTATCAAAAATTACTTTAAATGCAAATGAATTAAATGTTCCAATCAAAAGACATACAGTGGCTGAATGGATAACAAAATAAGACCCTTACATATGCTATCGACAAAAGACTCATTTCAGATGAAAAGACACACAAACTGAAAATAAAGGGATTAAAAAAAAATTATTTCATAAAAATTAAAGTAAAAAAAAAAAAAAAAAAAAAAAAAGCTGTGGTAGCAATACTTATACCGGACAAAATAAACTTTAAAACAAAGTTAAAAAAGAAACCAGCAATTCCACTTTGGGGTATTTATCCAAAAAACCCAAAACACTAAATTGAAAAGACATATACATCCATATGTTCAATGCAGCATTATTTACAATACCCAATATATGAAAGCAACATAAGTGTCTATCAATAGATGGGTGGATAAAGTAGTAGTAGTGCATATATACAATGGAATATGACTCAGCCACAAAAAGGAATGAAATCTTGCCTTCTACAACATGGATTAACCTAGAGGGTATAGTACTGAGTGAAACACGTCAGAGAAATACAAATGCCATGTGATTTCACTTATATGTGGAATCTAAAAAACAAAACAAAATAAGCAGAACAGAAACACATTCATAGACATGGAGAACATTTTGATGGTTGCCAGATGAGAGGGGGACTGGGAAGATGGGTGAAAAAAGGTGAAGGGATTAAGAAGTACAAATTGGTTGTTAGAGTGAGGAACCTCAAAGGGAAGGGAGGAAGAGTGGGAAGAGATAAACCAAACAACCTATATGCATATATGCATAACCAATGGACACATACAATAGTGGGGGAAAGGCAGGAGGAGGGTGGGAGCAAGGAGGAGGGGGATCAATGGGGAAAAAGTGGGGGAACATCTGTAGTCCTTTCAACAATAAATTTTTTTTTTAAAGAAGTACAAATTGGTAGTTACAGAACAGTCATGGGGATGTAAAGTACAGCATAGGGAATATAGTCAATAATACTGTAATAACCATGTATGGTGTCAGATAGATAGATAATAGATTTATCAGGGTGATCATTTCATAAGTTACTATATAAATGTCTAATCGCTGGGTTATATACCTGAGAACTAATATAATGTTGTATGTTAACTGTAACTGAAAAATAAAAAATTATTTAAAATATAAATTTAAAAGTCCAAAAGGTCAAACAGAGCATTTATTCATTAATTAATATAAAAACAGAAACTAATAGACCCTTATCGTTAGGATAACCACATAATTTATCATCCAAATGCTATTTTGAGAATGAATGGGGAACTACTAATTACACTGAGACAACAAGCAACATTATAGTCACCCTACCTTAACAGTTTATCTTTCTTGCTTAAGTAAGAGCTTCATAAGGAGAGACTATGGGTCTGTCTCTATTCCTCCAACACTTAGCTCTATGCTTGCAAAGTAAGAGGTGTGCTCTTACTCTCTCTCAATGAATGGCATGAATAATGCAAATTAATGTGAAAAAGGGAAAACTCAAAGTAGACAAAATGAACTACCCAATCCTGATACTTTTCCACTTCTATATTATTTTTTTTAATCCTCACCTGAGAATACTTTTCCATTTTTGTTCAGATAGTGAGGAAGGGAGAGAGGAAGAGAGCGAGAGGAAGGGGGGGAGGGGAAGAGAGAGAGAAAGAGAATACATCGACTGGTTGCCTCCCACTCAACCCCAATCAGGGCTGGGGACGAACTGCAACCAAGGTACATGCCCTTAAATGGAATCGAACCCACGACTCACTGGTCCGCGGGCCAACACTCTAACTACTGAACAAAACCGGCCAGGGCTCTATATCATATTTTTGACCAAGGCTTCTTATCTCATGTCTCACTACCCACGCCCACCCCTCATCAGAATATAAACTTCACGAGAGCAGAGAATGTCTGTTTGCTATTTCCCCAGCACCCAGAATTGTGCCTGCTCATGGTAGGCACTCAATACTAAATAAATAGTATGTGTTCAATGAATGCAGTTCTACCTTGTCCTGCCTGTCAATATCGGAAAGCCAAGCCACATAACCCATGAAACTTTCCCAAACAGTTCCAGTAAAACACAATCTCTCCTTCCTCTGCACACAATGATATTTTATATCTTTCTTATAATACTTTCTACACATACTTTGCCCTTTTGCTAGAACTGTGTCTTTGATCATGTCTCATTTTTTTAGTATACCCAACAACATCCAAGCATAATGCCTGACACAATATCTACAAGAACAAATATCTGTCAAATTAAACTGGTAAAATGGCAGTATTACAATTACAGGTGTATATTTAGAAACCTGATACCATGCTAATTTTCTACAGAACTTTCTCATTTATGTATACATCCCTAGCCCAAGCCATTACCATTTCACAAATTAGACTACTGCAACTCCATCTACTCAGCATTGAGGAGGTTCAGAACAAGTCACTGTAGAATGTGCCAAATTGGTTTATGTATTATTTTGAGCTGAAGGCAGTAAAGACCCAGCAGAGTCAGAAAAAGCTTTTTACCTCCTCATAACTGTCTATAAAGGAAATTAGAAAGGTGGCCTGTACCAGTAAGATAATTATAATCAGAGACAACTTTATATCTGAGAGAATGATCTGTATGGCAGAGCAAAAACATTTGTTTACCGAACATTTGCTCTTCTTGCCTTCCTGTGAATTGTCTTCCTCCCTTTTGGAACCCCAGACCCCTATCCCTCTCCTTAGTATCAACTGCCTGGCTTTCTGTAAGTCTCACATTTTTGTGGTGCTCCCATATGTACACACCTAATTAAATTTGTTTCCTCCTATTAACTGTCTTTTATTACAATGGGTCTAGAATAAATTTATTTGACCAAATGTTTACTGTTTCCTTCATCTTATCTTATTCTCTCTGACCTGATTTATTCTACATTTACTGATACCTAAAATCACTAACACTGGAGATACATATTTTCTCTGTTGTTAGAGGATCACAACCCAGCAAAGGAGACAAATACAGAAACAATTTCTACAAAGTGTGAGAAATCCTATAAAAAAATATAGTAAGAATTCTACAAGAATGCAAATAAATAAATGAGGAAAAACTTCACAATGTAGTTAACATTTGAAATGGGTCTTGAAGAACAGTAGGGTAGAGTGAGTGAGTGAGTGAGTGTGTGTGTGTGTGTGTGTGTGTGTGTGTGTTTGCTGAGATGCTGGAAATGTATAGTGAGAAAGGTGAAAGGTAAAGTTGATGTCTGGTGACAACTGAAGTGTTTACTAAAATTATGTTACAATAAACAACTTAGGATACCAATTAGAGCTCCTTTTTCTCCTTCATTCTTGCAAAATAATGTTTAACCATTAATTTATAAGAATTATTTTACAGCCCTGGCCGGTTTGGCTCAGCGGTTAGAGCGTCGGCCTGCGGTCCGGAGAGACCCGGGTTCGGTTCCCGCTAAGGGCACGTACTTCGGTTGCAGTTTGTCCCCGGCCCTGGTTGGTCGTGCGGGTGGCAGCCACTCGATGTGTCCCTTCACATCAATGTTTCTCTCTCTCTCTCCCTTCCTCTCTCTCTCCCTCCCACTCTATCTGTACAAAAAAAAAAGGAAAATATCCTCGGGTGAGGATAAAAAAAAAAAAAAGAATTATTTTACAAATAACACACGCATTTAAGAGATTTTGTGTATAAAATAATTATTACATTGTGGGAAGAAGGAAAAAGCATTTTGAAGACAATCAAAAAAATACAATGTATTAGATTGTATGAGGTGAAAAGGCATAGTTTTGTTAACTAAAACCAGTCCTCAATGTTGCAGATGCCGGAGGAAACAGTCCAAAATTAATACTCAAGACACCTGGATTCAAATCTCAGACTATTTAACAGCTGTGCCCTAATTACAAAAAATATCTTTTACTTAATTCCTAAACTATCCACCTCACTCAAAGAGTTGTAAAGATCAAATAAAATAATGACTCTGAAAGTGCTATGAAAAAATAGAAAAATTATACAGGTAAAATATTACCTTCATTTGGTTATACTTGCTGTATTGAAAATTAACTCTTAAAATCTGTATTTCTCACATAATAATGCTGTCACAAACTAAAAAAGGGCGTTTACCCGTTCTACAGATCGTGCTCTCTTCTTTGGCCGAGTAGGCAGCGCATCTTCCTTCGGATTGGTGTCTATTGCCCAATAGGACCCCTAAAAGTAAAGAAAGAAATTATATCAACAGTACGTCACAGCAACTCTATAACATTAAAATGAATTGTTACAATCCTATGCTCCAAAAGCAAACATTTTGCAGATACAACAAAAGTAGCATGAGAGGAGCAACTAATTTTGAACTGAGAAAAGTCAAATTTATGGAAAAGAGTCCATTTATAACTAAAGTATTAATGAGGAAAAAAAAAATCACAATCTGAAGAAGCCAAATCCAAGAACTTCTGCCACAGCAAAATTGAAAAGAGAAATGATCAACTGAACACATTTAAAAATATATGCTAATTCTTAATTGAACACATATGATAATTACAACAGCATATGACATTCAAATCTAAAAGAATTTTATGTATAAAGATACTGTAGTTTCGCCCTGGCCAGTTTGCTCAGCGGTTAGAGCATTGGCCTGCAGTCTGGAGAGACTGGGGTTCGGTTCCCGCTAAGGGCACGTGCCTCGGTTGCAGTGTGTCCCTGGCCCTGGTTCGGTTGAGTGGGTGGCAACCACTCAATGTGTCCCTTTCACATCGATGTTTCTCTCTCTCTCTCTCTCCCCCTCCCACTCTATCTGAACAAAATATATATATATAAAAAAAAGATACTATAGTTTCTACACCTTGGGACCTCATAAATCTATCTAAATGGTAAGTAAAACAATTTATAAAGACAAACTGCTTAAACACATTTTATGAAATAAGTGCATCCTGGGAAGCAATGGTCTGTACATAAATCTTATTGCTTATTCTGTCACAATTTATTGTAACCATCTAGCCTTACTTTTTGATACAAGTTCTCAAATCACTCACTCAAAAGTAAATATGAGCACCTACTATGTTCTAGGCACTCAGAAATTGTGACTCCCTTAAAAATATAATTTGAAAAGCATAGATCATAAAGATTACACATATACAGATGAGAAAACCAAAGCTCAGAGAGATAAAAGTGGTTTGCTCGTCCAAGGACATGAGAGCCAGGACCTGAATCAAGGTCTTAGTTTCTTTCTTCCTCAGTTATCCTGTCTACACACACACACACACACACACACACACACACACACACACACTAAAAAGGGAAGGAGAGAGTAAGGAATGAAAGAAGGTGGTGAGGGAGACAGGCATTTCAGAAACAGAAATACAGTGCATGCCCTGGTTTTACAAAAATCTCAGTGACAGTATTAAAGTTTATTCTTTGCCTATATTATTTCATTAATCTTCCTAGGCTACTCTTTCAGGCAATATTTGTCAATGAGGGAAAATACAACTCTCATCTACCAATCCTCACACTTTGTGCCTAATGTGATTTATCTGCTTATTATTATTCCTTGAATATACCATGCTCTTTTATGCATCTGTGCCTGCCCTACACGCTAATCTCATGGCCTATAATATCCACCCTGACAAAGTCATTCTACCTTCAAAATTTAGCTCAGATGTTATCTAAAGGAATCCATCACTCTCTCCTGCAAGATCTCTCTGGTTCTTATACATTTATTTTAGACCACGGATTTCACTTAACTTTATTTATAGATATCTGTATCTCTTCTAGGCTATGACTTCCTTACCTTAAGGATAGAAACTCATTTCTATGTTCATTGTGACAGGCACAATGTCAGACACATACCAAGTAAGTAATCAATAAATATTTGTTGAAATGGAAAGGAAAAAATTGTTGAACAAATTGTGCCAAGAGTATCAGAGTATGATGCCCAGCCTTCCCAGATCCTAGTCTATTCAGGTACTTGAACTTTAGCACCCAGCCACTACTGAGGCATTCTTCCATGTTATCTTTTCAAAGTAGTCACTGCATGTCAGCTGATGAGTCTACCAGTTGGATGCAAACTTGCCAAGAACAATGTAATTAAGCACTACAGAAATTAAGCACTAAAAATGAAAACAATGATCTGGAGTAGATTCAGCTGGCAATTTTAAAATAAAGTAGGGATAAGTTTTATACTTGGTTTTCAAAAAAGTTGAAAATAAAGCATAAAGAGAAATACCAAAACTCAACTGACAATAGTTTAAAAACCACTATTCACAAAAATGATAGCAAACCTAAATTTGCTATATCTTAGATATAATACATATATTTAGTATATTCAAATTTTTCTGATTTTGAAGGTACATATACCAAAATGGTCAACAATTTTTTAATGCAACTAATTTCTTATCAACTGTCATGCATGAAACTAAAACAAATGACTGATCCTGGGTTTCCAATTTCCAAAATGTTCTACTTTATTACTACTTCTGGTTCTTTTCTTACATATTACTATCAAAAGGCAATACTGATTCCAGATTTCAAGTATATATCTAATAGATTCTAGCATTTTAATACTCCTGGTTCTTGTACTTCCATTTTCAAAATGCAATACTTTTGAAATTTTTGGAGTCTATTTTCTTGAAGTATGGCCATCACTGCTACATAATTGCAAAAAGCATTTTTATATCTGGTTCATAAACACCAAATAGAACGATTAATTTAATTAACTTTTTCATTTCTATAGCATCTATTTCCTTGCAAGCACATGTATATACACACAAGACTTCAAGATTTGTCCACTTATGAATTTTATCAAGTGACTTTTGGTACACAAACATAAAAGATGAAAAATATTGTTCATATAATTTTCTAGAAAAAAAGTGATGATTTTTGCCCTGGCTGGTTTTGCTCAGTGGTTAGTGTCATAAAATAATCATTTTTATAAGTTTTCCTTCCTCCAAAATTTGATCACATACTGTTTTGTAATAATCTTATTCTTTCTCACCTCCTACAATATCTATCAAAGTGCAAACACAAATCTTTGGCAAATCTGAAATTTTAAGGGCTGAAAAATTTAAATCTAGCACAGCTTTTATTTAATTATTGAAGAGTTGTGTCTATAAAAGATAAATAATTTGGGTAACTCTAAAGATGTATGCTTTCACTTAACATTTGTTGGATTTCTACTCTGCACAAGGCAAATAAAAATTAAATAACAATAGCTAAAATAAATTTTTTCTTTATTGATTTGAGAAAGGAAGGGAGAGGGAGAGAGGAGAGAAACATCATTGCGAGAGAACATCAACTGGCCACCTCTTGCATGTCCCCCTCCCCCCCTGGGATTTGGCCCACAACCTGGGCATGCACCCTGACCAGGAATCGAACTGGTGACCTCTTACTGCATGGGTCAACACTCAACCACTGAGCTACACAAGGCCAGGCAGCTAAAATATTTTAAATAAAACTTATTATTAAAATAAAATGCAAAAACAAGCTATAGCAGAACATAACCTAATTATCTAACCCAACAACTGAAAAAATGACATGCTGAATCATCCAAACTGGCTAAACTTCTCAAACTTTGCGCAGATACCAGAAAGGTAACAAACCTTCTCTTAAGGGACAATTCATCAAGGGTTGAGCATGTATATGCTAGTCACAATGCTAGCACTAGGAACAGAAATAAAAAGGAAGCCTCAGTCTGAAGTGTGGTGAGAGAGACAGAAAAGATATCTGCGTGGTTAAGTCTCACCACCTTCATGTCTTTGCTCAAAATTCATTTTCTCAATAAATTTACCTTATCTTTTGAAAATTGCAATCTACACCTCAATCCACTTTATCCTATTCTATTTATCATTCTCCCATTTGACTGTAATTTCCTGAAGGCACAATTTTTTTTCTGTTCTGTTTGCTGATGCATTCCAAATGCCTAGAATAGTGACTAGCACCTAAGAGGCAAGCAAGTTATCACCATAAAGTGCTAAGACAAGTAAGCTGAATCTTCGAGGATGATCATGCCAGATGTGGTAGAAGAAAAAGGATTTTTAGGCAGAGGAAAATAGTTTGTACTCAATAAGCATTTTTAATATGGCATTCATGGACTCCCAGGGTGTCTGTGGACAGGATTCAGGGGCTCCATAAACTCTGGTAAGAAGAAAATGATGAAATTCAGCATTTCCTTCCATTATGAATGTAAGAGCAAACCACAGTTTAGCATTACCTAAAAACCACTTTCTTTCCTATCACATTAATAGTTTTTGTTTCAAAATGTCACTTATTACTTATTTCTACTTATGTTATTTAATATGTTATATTAAATTTTGTTCAATTTTATGATTTAATGTTACCAAGGAAGCATAAATTACTGTATCACAAACTTGTTATAGTATTTTTATATCTATTTTAATGTAACTGCTTAACTTTTTAACCTATATATTCTGGTTTATGCCTTTAAAAATATTATTATTCTTAGAAGGGGTTCACAGGCATCAACAGAACTGTCAAATGAAGCCATGACATAAACAAGTATTAAGATTCTGTTGCTAAAGTCACAGACGTATGAAAGAGAGTAAGACAGTAAGAAAACTATTTATCTGACTAGATTAAAAAAAGAGAGAGAAAATTAAAAAAAAAATTTTTTTTCTTGCCCTGGCCAGTTTGGCTCAGCGGTTAGAGCGTCGGCCTGCGGTCCCGAGACACCCGGGTTCGGTTCCCGCTAAGGGCACGTACCTCGGTTGCAGTTTGTCCCCGGCCCTGGTTGGTGTGTGGGTGGCAGCCACTCGATGTGTCCCCTTCACATTGATGTTTCTCTCTCCCCCCCCCCACTCTATCTGAACAAAATATCAAAAAAAAAAAAAGTCCTCAGTGAGGATAAAAAAAAAATTCTTTTTCTTCTTTAGATAAATATTATTTATTTTCTTCAATACTTTAGGTGGCATGCTGAGTCTAAGTTTTTTGTAATTAATTCATAAATCCTGTAATTTCGATAAAAATGTATTACTGATACCAAACAATCCAAAATTCAAATCTTAAGAGCCAGCATTTATTTATTTATGTATTTGGTTAATCCTCACTTAAGGATATTTTTCTATTGATTTTTAGATAGAGTGGAATGGAGGGAGAGAGAGAGAAACATTGATGTGAGAGGGATACATTTGGTTGCCTCCCACATGACTCTGACTGGGCTGGGGATCAAATTTGCAACCCGGGTATGTGCCCTTGACCAG